CACAGCTTGATCAGGACTGACCTTAGGTTCTGTTGTATCTCTATTGTCAACCTGCTCAAACAATCATGGATAAGATGAGCATCTAATCAAACACCCAAAATAAAAGATTAAAGACCAAAGAATTAAGCAAATCATGATTATTTTCCTCTGAGTTCATGCTTCTACACGTACTTCTCCAAACACTAAAACATCACAGTCATGGACAGCTAGTCATGATTCACAAACATAGGATTATTTTCTTAAAAGTGTAAGTATCACAAGCATAGGATTTTCTCTCCAAATCTTAAAATGTGAGCTCATTCAAATAAGAAAACATACTTTCAGCATTTTTAAAATGTCCACTGTTATTTATATAAAGCCACATTTATTGAGGCAATAATCTAGTAAAAAGACTCAAAATTTTGAGTCCCAAACCAAAATACAGGATTTAAAAATCCCAAAATCGTGACAGAGGAAGGACGATACTTCAAAAATGTGAAACATTATAACTCTGCATCACAAAATAGATGCAGTTGACCAAGATAACGGGAAACAACTGCGGCATGTCTTTTACTTTGACAGCACATATCCAAATTCCTCGGAAAAATAGAAAAAATAATATTCAAATATTGAGCAGTGCATTATTACTAATATGAAGTCGTTGCCGAGGCCGTGATACTTGACGAAGTGAAGAATTCCGCTTTCTTTACGATCAAGGAAAGAATCTGGAGAGCCTTTCTCCGGAGCTTCGATTCTCATTGAAGATGTCGCACAAATGCGGAAACTAGGGCACTGTGTTCCGCTACCGGCGGCGAATTTGAGATTTTTTGGTTGTGGAGTTAGCGGAGAGGAAAATCGAACGAAATTAGCGGAAGTAGAAGAAAGAGAACGACGGGTTGGAGCTGTAAGAGGCAGTGTAATGGCGGCGGCTATCGCCATTGGAGGAGTTGGTCAGTGAGGAGCTACAAGGAGAGTCAAAAATGACTTCTGTGGGAACTTTCAGGGTTTCTTTTTCTCTTTAAAAAATTCCTGGGACTGCAATTGTAATTCACACGTGGAAGTGCACGAATAGCCTTTTTTAGTGACCTTTTTAAAGAATAGTCAAAATTTACAAAGTTTTTAAAATTTAACCATTTAAAATCGGGTCTAAAGTTAATTTCTGTTAAAGCCTATGAAATTTGAGGGGAAGTGCACGGTTAGCCACTAATAACACATGTATTTACTCTTAAGTTATTGTTTAAAATATCTTTAGTCTTTAGCCACTGCTTTATTAAACTTTAATTGCCTGGACGAAAATACTCTTCTGCTCATGTCCTTAACTTTTGAACTT